AATTTTGGAAAAATATGCTAAAAATTTATTAAATAGTAAGTTTTTTTAAGAAAAATGCATAACTTAAATATAATAACCATAAATTGGTATTTATATAATGAGAAGATATAAATTTCATTACAAAAATGTAATAAGTAGTAATAATTTTTCCTTTTATATCTGCAATTTGAGATGACCTTCAGGAGTTGTCATATCTGTTTGCTGATTGCACATTGGTTTACAATTGATTTCTAAGTATTGATCTATTGACCTATTGATCAAAGCATAAAAGTGCGTAAATGAATTGTTTTTTTCTAAGGTATAAGTACAAAACAATCAGAAAACTGTGCTATTAAATACAACTATTGAGTCCAATATTGTCCTTCTTAGGAAAATACTCTTTCATTAAATGAAGACCAAAACTTGACTAGTCTTCCTTTTGCTTCTGTCAAAGTACATTTACCAGTAGTCAAACATCAAGAAGGTGACACTGTCAGTTTATTTTAAATGTGAGGAATGTACGGGTAAGCAACAAATTTTCATCCTAAAATTTTTAACTTTATGTTACAATATCCTAAGCCATTTTTCTCAGTTGCTCAACAACAAAATAAATAATGACTGCTGTCATTCTTTCTTGCACAGAATTAGCAATGTAATCCCATTTTGGTATTAATCACTATAGTTTCAACAGCATGTGCCATTAATTCAACTTAATGTGCTGCAACCAATCAATATTTAGTCTGTAAACTCATTTGTTCTTTGGCTCTACATCACAAAAATAATTGTTGTAAAGTAGTTCTTTTTATCATCTTCAGGGTAAAGAACTGTTTAGGTAAACTCTGCAACTCAAGTTCCAGAGGGTATATTAATCATACACTAAAAGCAGGATCTTCAAAGTATTCAACATGGGTTTTCCTATATTATTTTATATATATATATATATATATATAATATATATTATATTTTATATATATATATAATATTATTTTTCAAATAATTCTACAGAAGCCTGAAATTTCTTTTGTGAAGTACAAGAGTTTTTTTTACTTAGTGAACATTTAGAGAATTTGCACTTTGTTAAACATGGTAGCTCACCCACACCATTTTGCACAGTGAGGTTAGGTTACTCAGTATTCAGTAATAACTATGAAATGTTAACATGGTTCAATATGAATGCCATATTTTAAAAATAATCCCTCTGACCTCGTCTGTTAATCTTTGTGACTGTTTCAGACTGTGGACATTCCCTGCAGTTTGCTGTGTCAGGTGGGAAGCCACTCACCATGCTGCATTTTGACATGAGCAAACTCAGGAAATCAGCTCTCCAAGGCACTTCATTTCTCACTGCTGCCTTCCTCTCCTACCATTACTGCACTGGCAGATTTGCACACACCCCATAAACTGTATAATCATTTCCATTTTTCAATTGATATGATGTGCCTCACCTCACTGAATTTCCTTGGCATTTACAGTGAGCTTGATGCATTCTTGTGCTCAGTCTTCCTGCTGGTGAGGAGGTGTGAAAGTGTGAGGCTGCCCTGTGACTGCAGCAGGAGGGTGGTGGCATTAGGGGCTTCTGGGGCAGTCTGCTCTCCTAACCCTTCTCTGTTTCTGGGCTGCAGAGGGCACAAAGATTTGCCAAGTAGCAGGTCTGCAATTATGGCCATGCCTTCCCACTATTCTGTGAACTCAAGACCTGTACTCACTTGTTATCCTTTGCACATAGCGTGACCAGCAGTAACTGCCTGGTATTTAGACTTTAAGAGATAAAATACAAGGATCTTCTATTTGACTAGAAAATGAGACCTTTATAAGGACTATGGCTGCCCAATCATAGTCTGTCCTTGCAGCTCGCTTCATTAGGGCTCTCCTCTTGGATGTACAGGTTTCTCCTGTAAAATCTCTCTGCTGTAGAGGTAATGCTCAAGATGTTTAGATATGATAATCACCTTCTGACAGATTTTCTGGACAGAAATATTGCCATGAAAACACTCATAGAAGAGACAGCAATCCAAACTTTATTTTTTATTTATTCAGTCACCATGCAAACTAAGCAAACTATAGTCATAGCAGTTTTAGAAAAGGCCAAAGCTATTAGGGACACAGAGTCCACAGGTTTTCATGCTGGAATGAGTGATGACAGCAAGATGGATCTTTGGGAATATAGCATATATATATATATATCAGAATGATAACAAAAGGGAGTAGGCTAAACTTGCAACTAATCAGATGGGCACCAACAGATGTAATTGGATTTGCTTTCCCTAAGCAGTTTCATAAAATACATCTCTGCCTTTGATCCTCTACAAGATCAACTTCAGATGACCAAGGGTTAATGCGCTGACTGGATTTGGCCAGTATTTGTGGCAGCACAAGCACTTAAGAGCCATGAAAACTGCCTGTCCCATGTGCTTTTTCCCAGTTTAGTCTTTCACACCTTTGCCAAGTGCAAGCTACAGATCCAGGGACCACAACCAAATTTTACTTCAATTTTACTTTCAATTTTATTTTTCCCATTTCCTTGCATAAATTAATGACAATTCAGCTGCATCTGGCTTACTGCTGAAGGGTAATGCCTAGTAAAACAGCCTGGAAAAAAAACGAACTTGTTCTGTTTTCTTCAGGTCTACCAAAGAAGAAAAAAAATGACCAAGACAAAACCAAATAAACCAAGCCACAAAACCTACCAACCAACCAAACAAACAAACAAAACCCTGAACCCTATGAAAACAAACAAACAAAAAAATTCCCCAAAAACAATCAAAAACCCTATAAAAAAAAAACAAACAAACACCAAAACCACAAATCAAAACAAAAAAACAGGAAATCCCTCTCATTTCCCTGGAGAGTGATACAATAAATAATGAATTTTCTTTCCAATACAGAGACGCCTTCCTCTGAAAACCATGCTTTGCCACCTGGCTCCTTATAAAGGATGGTGGATCTGAAAGAAAGCATCCAGGAATCCAGGCAGGTCCAGGAGGAGGACCGTGAGCTATGACTGTACATGACTGAAATACTGAAATACCATTCTGCATTCCACAAGGAATTATCAATAATGTTATTATCATTGGTAACACTGGTAACATTTTCTACATAAATCATAACAGACTGGTGCCACTGTGAAATGCTTTTTGCAGCTGCTTGCAGGTTCTGCTTGGGAGGAAGAGCTGTGGGAAAGCTACAGGTCCTTGGATACATAGGGTATGCTCTCACAGCACTTGTTTTTGATGATATTTGCATTCCATTTACCCCCCATAAGCCAAAAATCCAAAACTAAGCTTTCTGTTTTATAGAGAGAGTATATTAAAAAGATCTAGCATGCAAAAATGGTGAGAGGTGTTAGTATATAATGTATATTTTTCTAAAAAATTTGCTAATTGGCATCGAATTATAATATCCATTCTTATAATTTGTCTGGAGCCAATTCCCCAATTATCTTTTCTGTCTGCATAAGAATGGGCAAGATAAATAGTTTAATACTTAAAGCTTACATCAGAAAGAGCATCAAAATACATTTGAATCCAATTTTTTGTATTTTAATCTTACAACTTTTAAAAGCTTTATCTGTGAAAGTAATAATAGTTCACTGTTTAGAATTATGTTGAAAATTCAGACATGATGATAAAGTTTAACAAGTCAAAACACAAAGAAAAAAAAAGGTAATTTTCATTTGAAGTAAACAGCAGACTTCCTTAAAATAATTTCTTCCATAGCCTTTCTTCCACTTTCTGTGATTACATGTGGTGTTTGACAGCATCTGCTCTGAGTCCTTAAGCAGAGATCACACATCTCCCAGAAGTAACTTATAAATAATGAAATAATCACCCATTCAGATACAGACACCAAAAAGATGGATCAACTTTTTCTGCTACACCTTGTGCAAAAAGTTTCTTTCGAGTGCCACACCATCAATGTGAAATATTTAAAGCAGAAAATTGTCATGCCTGTTTTGTTCTAGTAAGCATACCAAAAACTCACTTTGCATTAAACAGTGCACAACAGAAACACAGAGAAAAAAACATATCCCCTAGACATCAGCTTTCAAGATACTCTTTCTCTGCACTTGCAGAATAGCACACAAGGCAAACACAGCACAGGTTTCACTTCACTGAGTTCACTGGTATTACACGAGGAAGTAATTTATCTGGATACATCTTAGCTATTACATTAACACTTTTAATGAGTTCTGTGTGAATACTGGCCTAACCCCTGCCTTTTTTGGTGGTTTTATTTTTGTGGGTTTTTTTGGGTTAAGTGTTTCTTCTTGATTCAAGACTGTCCTAATTAATGGAGAAAGAGCTCTCAGGATATTAGTCAGATTGCCAGTTCAGAGAAAGTGATGCTCAAAAACTAACAACCTCATAGTCCCACAGACAGCATTTTGATTTTAGCTTTACAATTTACACAGGGAAAAAGGTGTAAAGGGACCAAACAGATGCCATTCCAGAGTGCACTATGCATGCAATGAGAGGAAGCTGATGTTGTGTTCTCCATCTTCTTGAGAAGCTGGGAATTACACCAGTTCTTAACCCCTGCTGTACAAGACTGGAAACAGGCGGTCACCAGACATAGTGTGGCAAGATGAGGGAAGAATTTAGCTGTGATACTGAGTGAGGGGAAGAAAAAGATCACAAAGTATAAATTTAGCTACAAAAAATTCTCAGATACCTTCACTGTTCCCTGTACTGAAATGATGAAGATGATACGGCATCGTTCTGCCTGGATTTCCTAACTTGCCATGTGTCTCTGAATTCTAAATAATCCAATATACAAAAATACTGTGATATATAAAATGCAGGGGGGTTTCTATATACCATATTTTTCAGATTTTACACCATCATATATTGCTTTTTACCCTCAGGAGAGTATTATCAGTGGAATTCTGATTCAGTGGCAATTGAAAGCATAATAACCATTTTATGACCACAGCATCCCAACATTGCTCTCTTTGATTTGTATATTTACAGGGTTTCCAGAAGATACATGCAGTCAATACAAATAAGGTATAAACCACTTACAGACAGAATTTTTGTGGTTGCTGTCTTTGCTGGGCAACATCTTGACTCCTCTTGATTTCAGTTCAATTGCTTTTTTTACTAAGAAGAAAAATATACAAAGATAATTCATTATTAAACCTCATTAAAAGGACATATAATTGCAATATCAAGCAATACAAAGCTTTATAGGAAACCTACAGCAGATTGAAATAACTGCATCTTCTGTGATAATCCAAATAAATTTTTGATTTTATTTATTTTTACAAAAATACAACCATTTATCATGTTTCAGAAGATACCCTTTTTTAAGATATGAAATATATTTTATATTGTCAGGATTGGCAATATTTTGATTTCAAGTTTCTTTATATTAAAAGAAAAGAACAGCCTGTCCTAATTACAGATATGGATTTCCTGTGTTTACCATTCCATATAAGAAAATCTTAAACATTAAAAAAATTATTTCTCACATAAAACGTACAGAACAGTATCTACACATATTCGAGGACTAAAAGCTTTCAATGTGATATTCACACCTGCTCTCATTTGACTCACTTTTCATCAGGAGACATGTTTTTAGTTCTGTTTCCCAATGAGATTAACAGTGTGTTACATTATTTGGCTCACTTAAACCCTTTTGAATCTACAGGGCAATTTCAACTGAATTAGAAAGAAGAAAGAGAGTAAGAGCTCTCACAGGGGCAAAGTTTTGTGAGAAAGAACAGATGCACCACAGGTTTAATATCTTTTTTTCCCTGTTTAGTCAGCTGAATGACTGATAAACTCCCAGCCTATCCCTACTAAGTAGTTTGGGCACCAAAGGTGGGATCAGGAGCCAAGCAGGAAGAGACATAAGATGACAGCAGTGTGGCTATACATTAAAGAAGACACAGGGTAGAATTTTAATTGTAATGCTAAGAGAAAAGGATAGAAATATAGGACACCTTCACAGGATATTAATTAGTTCTGTGGGAACAAATTGAGCAAGGGAAATTAAAATAAGATGTAGAAAATAATTGTGTAACAAGCATGAGCAATTCGAAACTATTGCATCAAAAATAGCAATTGCAAAATAGTTGATCAGAATGTTAATGACAACATCAAGATGCATGCCAGTTAGCAAAAATTACAAAAACCTGTAATCCTTCCCTGATTCATATGAAATACTTTTTTCCTAGACCTTGCAGGGGCTAATAACCTCAAAATGCACTTATTTATCCAAGATACAAACAGAAACAAGAATTCAACTCAAAGATGTCTTATATGGCAGTAATTAGTACCTCACACTACATAAATTAATACGAAAGGATGTAAGTTATACTTTTTGTCATTACATGGCATAAATTTTATAATTACTACAATATACACTGATCTGTATGCAAATATTTCTAAGAAGCGAAGTGGTAGAAAGCAATTTGTCTTTAAATATTGCATGAAAGTCATGATTCCATTGTATTTATTTCTATATTGCAACTTCAGAGTGAAGGTGGCTTTTCTTGACTACTGAAACTGAGCAAGTACTGCAGAAAGTACATTCAGTGCTATGTGCAAGTGAAGTCATTCACATTTAAACACGGAAAACAGGTGTTCAAGTGAGGAGAGATGACTGAAACACAATTGTAGCTGAATAGTATGAAATAGTTATGATAGCAGTGTGGTGTTTTTTTCTAAGTCAGGAACTGTACATTATACAGAGACATCAATGCAGACAATAAGACTAATATACCCAAGGCCTTTTGGAAGGGCAAACTTCATGGATACGGTTTTATTTGGATTAGTTTCTAGACTTAGATATGAAAATCTCCATCTAGTGCCACCTTATGTTCAGTTTTTCAGGCTATGTAACAAGTCTGTTAAAATTATTCCATATTTAATGGGAAATGAGTAAAGCTCTTGCAGAGAATATTTGTGATACTGTCTGGGGTTGTGGTCCCTCCGCCTTTGAAATTCTCAATTTATTAATATCTGAGTTATGTAAAACATGTGAAGAGTTCTTTGAGGATTCAGAACCCAGATTGCTTACATGGATGAGTAATAAAAGTAATAAATTGAGATATTAAGCAATGGACAGAAAAAAAGAACTATACTCTCCTTCTTGTCTTTGTGCTGTGACACTATTTTAGATTAAAAATTACAATCATCACTCAAATTCCTTGTGACATTTCTCTCTTAAGGGCATTTATTATACATATTTGAAGTACACTTCTTGTGAATGAGAAAAAATTATACTCACCTACTTTATTTGAAATACAGAGATCACAAATTGAAACAAGAGGTTTTGACTTGATATATGAAGAACTTTTTGATTGTCATGTACTGAAAGGGTTTCTATCCTTGGATTTTTTCATATGTCAAGAAAAAGGCATTCTATATCTCACTGAAAGGACATTAGGGAGGGGATTCATGAAACTTAAGATCAGTCATCTAAATGCATGTTTTATGAAGAGAAATAGCTAACTCAAGGGGGTGATTCATCCCCTTCTAAGAAAGTCATAATGAATCCTCCTCTGGAGATGATGCTTTTTTCTCTCCATAAAACATAACAGAACCATATACTACTTGCTGAAGCTAGATCCCTACATTGTAAACAGTAAACATTAGGTGGAACAAGCCTTTATGCCTTGAAAACTTTAACAGCCAAATGTAGTTATCTGGGAGACATATGGGTCCAAGAGATTAAATAGGATAGTTTGATATACAAAAAGCAAACTTTTGCCTCTTTTATGCTTGAGCAAATTTTCACATGTGCCCTATATAGTGGGGTTTTTTTTGTGGTTTTAAAAGGTATTAAGCAAGCATAGTCTCTAAAATAAAAAGCGTTCAACATCTGAAAAAGAAACAGGGACTACTGCACACTGTGGATCAAGTGAACTGGTTCAACCCCTCTTGTAAGTAAAAAAATGCTCTAAATTGGACATTTTATAACAATTTAAATCCCATTTGAGTACCTTTTCTGAGACACTTCTCTTTAACTTCCCCATTGCACCTTCATTAAAAAGGTTTTCCTGATTTCAAAGATGATTTTCCATTTAACAGCACAAAAAGAAGAATGGGTTTACATTAATAATGTCAGAAATGAACAACACTTTCCAACTTTTAAGAGATTAATTCTAAAATCTGCATAGCCTACTACTGTCTTCACTTAAACATTCAGTTAAGCTTACTGAATTAGCTTGCTTCTCCTTTTCTGTTTATCATAGCTTCAAGAGTCTTGTGGAGATGAGTTATTTATTTGGGGAGGAGGGCAGACAGCTGAGTCTGAAACCCACAACAACCTTATCAGCCTACTGGAAAGTACCAGTGATATTCCTTAAACTTTTGCTACAGCTAAAATAAACTCAGCCATGAAAGGAATATATACCTGGTTTTATCTGAATGGATAATGAAAGTATCCATTTCAGGTTGTAAATCTTCATTCAAATCTACTCTGATTTCCATGCAGCTCTTAGATTCTGATGCATTTGAACACGTGTAAAGAAAATTTTACCCCAAACTGGTGACTAACATGTTTTTCCCCAATTACCAAAATACATGAGTATCTTGCCGTTTTTTTCTTCCTGAGTGAAATAACCTCCAAGACCTCAAATACTGGCTACCACTCAAAGCTAAAATATTCTGACATCATCTGCTGGTACTTCCTCAAGCTGCTCTGCTGCTGCTCCGCTGAGTTCAGCTCTTGGCTGCCCTTTTACTGCAGGTTTTTTCTAAGTACAGATATTTGAAGGTGAAGAGGAACAGCATATTGCCCACTATCTGGTGATCACAAGAAGCACCTTTCCTGTCCAGTCTGAAGCTCTGTATCACTGTAAGAAATATATATAGATATATTTGAACAGTTTTCCGGTTTTGTTACAGCACAAGAAAACCCCCAATATTTTCAGTATTTTTACATACGATACAAATCTTTTACAAAGGTATTTGTAAATTATTGTATGTTGTGTAAATAATGTATATTACTTACACCTTGCTTTAACTATTTTGCAGAGTTCGGTAAAAAACAGTGATATGTTTTCAAGAACATTCACAGGATTATTCTTGAAGGAGTTTAGCAAATTTATCTCAGTACAGCGCAAAATTTATCCATTTCCTTTTGCTTTAGTTTCAGTGTTCTGATTTTTTTCAATCTGAGTAATCCTGTTGTAAAACCAAGTATTTTCTTAATTAAGACTGAAGAGTCAACTCCAGTGCTCTGTTTGCTTTACCCCAGTGCCTAATCTTTCCAATTTCCAAATTATGAGAATACTGCCTTTTTTTTGGCCCTGGAATTAACAGGGAATAATTTGGATAATCTGGAACCTACACTTTCAAATTTAGTAGCATCAGTGTTCTCTGCAGATTATACTTGTGAATTAAACTTCTTTTCCTTATTACTCGAAGTCATGTGGGACCAGTAAACAGTTCATTTTTAGGTTTTCTTCTGCTTCACCATGGCCTGTTGTACTATAAATTCTTTCTGAAAATTCAGTATTTATGAGAATAAAAAAGAAAGCAATCATTCTCAATCTTACTATTTGCTTCAATTTATGAAGGGAATTCTATAATCATTTTGTTTATAAAACAAGATCCCACACTGAATAACCTGGGAGCATCCTAAGAAGCTTTTCCTCTCAGCTGCCCACTTGACTTTTCACAGAAGCATCACAGTCTTCCATAGAACCTCTAGTTTGAAGCAACTTATTGGAACAGTCCATCCCTTTTCTGTGTCTCTATTGCCTGCCTGAAGAATGAAACATCATCCCAGTGTTTCTCTCACTAACAGCTTTCCAAATCTTCCCTCCTAATCGGTATTACAACTCCAGAGAGCTTCACAGCAGGCACAAATGTTTCTACTATATGGCTACCTGTAAAAGCTGTAGGTTCATGATCAGATGGCTTCCTTGTTCCATCAATTCAGCAAAGTACTGCCTGTCACCATCAGACCTTCCACCTGCTCCCTGTGCTGGAAATCTCTGCATGCAGTACTAGTGAATAAATGGCACCAAGATAAATTGGTGTCACAACAGATTTTTACACAAATCTTTCTCATTCTATTTGTATAAGCTGACACAGGTTCTGAAGGTTTAAAAGGAGCACAGCTATTTGTTTTCCATTAACCTTCT